CACGAAACAGTGATGAGAGTTTTTTTTTCTGTTTCATTTTTTTTTCTGTTTCATTTTTTTTTACATTTATTTTTTTTTTTTTTTTTTTTTCCGCTTGGCCACGCCAAAAAGATTACTCCTTAATTATATATTTGATCAGCGGCAACTGCATTTCTATGGAGTGCTCCTCTTCGTCGTCCTCGTCTCCAATGAAGTCAAACAGGTGGTCTACGTCATTTTGCATGATATCGGATATGACTGCAGCGGGAGAGCGGGGAGTAATCACGTGAGAGGTGTGAACATGTGACAAGGGGAGCAGAGAAACGAATCGCCAAACGCATAACCGAAGCAGATGATGTGGATGTGCATGTGATGGGATTACCTTCCTTGTTTATTTGCAAAAACCCGAGTGGAGTTTCGTATTTTTCCACTTGGGGGAAAAGACACCCTTTGTTATAAATGTGGTGATTGGGGCCAAGGATGAAGATGTTCTTTCTACGGGGACAGGGGAAAGGAGGAGAAGTGTCTGCCACTCTGTAAAAATGGTGACCTCAAACGGGAGGAAAAAAAAAAAAAAAGGGGCCACTTACACGTTCTCTACACTGATGCAGGCGTAAACGTGGGAATTCGTTTTCAGCGCGTAATCATATCCTGCGTGCCTACGCAACAATAAGTAAATAAATAAATAGAAATGACGAAACAGCATATTGCAGATGGCAAATGGCAAATGGTGAAATGACAAAGTTGAGCTCATCTGCCCGAACACACACACACACACACGGTTGTGTTGAGCGTCATGTGCACTTAGTTCGGGCGGACGCAACCCCTCACGCAGCTTTACGGGCAGATGGCCGCTTTCACGCTTTGCTTCTCGCAGTTTATGCTCTCGAAGAGGGCGTCTATGGAGTTCTTCAGGGCGCTGCCTGCGGTGGGCGCGAGGGGAATGCAGCACAAGTGAAATGATGAAATGTAGCAGTGGAGTGGTGGCATGGCTTCCGGACCCCCCCACACACTTCTCCAACTGTGCAGCTCATTGAAGCATATATGCTCCCCCCCCCCATCACATGTAAAGACGTGTGAAAAATTACCACTGCTAGAATACCACGAGCCCGCGTGGTAGGCCTTCCGATAATTCGCCATGGTTGTGCGATGGCAGGCAAACGACAAGATGGTAACTTTTGAAGGGTTCAAATTTTTTCAAGATTTAAAAAAAAAAAAAAAAAAAAAAAATCTACTTTGGTATTTTCCCCAAAGAGATCTCCCTTGGTGTGAAAGATGAAATGCATTTACACAAAAGTCCACGACGTTATTATTATCACCGTTACTCTGCTACTCTTATAGCTATTATATATTGATGCTGCCTTAGGGGCCCAATAAATAAAAAGGGGGGTGAGGTGGGAATTTTTCACTGCGCAGGAGAAACCGATACAGGTGTAAACAATTCGACTTATGCCGTCACCTGGGAGTTTATTTTTAAAAATGTTATTTGGTCCTGCTTCGTTTCTCTTGTTATAGCTTAGTTCCGTTTTGCTATTTATTTTTTTTTTTGTTTTTTTTTACGTAGAAAGCGCACACCGCTTATCCTTACGTGTGGATGAACGTTGGGTTGCAGTAGGCACATCCATCACGCAGAGAGTAGTCGTATTATGCATCACCGAACGTGCCAAGTGTGCTTGAGTAAAAGTGTTGCTAATGTGGAAGAGTCAACAGCGCACCCTCTGGCTCTTCTGAAGAGAAAAAAGAAATTCGTAGGGATGCACTAAGGAAGTGCCATTTTTAAAAGTTCATTATAAAGGGACACGAAACAGTGATGAGAGTTTTTTTTTTTTTTTTTGTTAAAAGTCCCATTTAGGGCCATTGAAAAACTGAGTGATCTGAGAATGTACACGCAGTTGTTTAGAAGACAAATTCCTTTTTGTTGCATCCTCTCATTTGGTTAATCGTCTGCGTGGGAGTTTGGCCTCATCGAGGGACTCCTCCTGCACGTCATTCACGTTCACTTGGTTGGCGTCTACGGTTCCTCCTGCTCGTGGGTTTTCTCTTCCTCACCACTATTTGTGTGACCCATTTCGTGCAACCCACTATTTTCCTCATCTGCTTCCCCTACACATCACTGCGCGTCGTTCTGTTTTTTTTCCGCTCCACTAGTTGTGTCATCATCATGTTCTATTGCTTTATTCGCATCTTCTAATTTGTCCGTTTCGTTCCACATGACACTCCCCAACTGTTCTTTATCCTCCTGTACTTCTTCTACTTCCTCCTGCACTTCTTCTATTTCTTCCTGCACCTCTTCTACTTCCTCCTGCACACCTTCTACTTCTCCTTGTGCGTCTTCCACTTCGTCTATGGCCATTTCACTCACCTCGCCCTCCTCTTCTGTCTTCAACCCCTGAGCCACTTCATTCACCTCCCCATTTACCTCCTCAGTCACCTCTTCATCCACATCTTCCTTCATCTCTTCATCTGCGTCCTCAAGCACCTCTTCATCTTCTTCTTTCACTACGTTATCTTCTTCCTCATTCATCGCCATTTCATTCACCTCCTCAGTCAACTCCTCAATCACCTCTTCCGTCATCTCTTCATTAACCTCCTCAGTCACCTCCCCATCCACCTCCTCGTTCACCTCCCCATCCACCTCCTCGTTCACCTCCCCATCCACCTCCTCGTTCACCTCTTCCTTCTCTTCTTTAAATTCCTCGTCCACTTCTTCATCCATCTCTTCCTTTTGTTCATTCACTTCCTCGTTCTCTTCTTTAACCTCTTCATCTACTTCCTCATTCACCTGCTCAGTCACTTCTTCCTCATTCATCTCTTCACTACGACTGAGTTTCTCCGTGACCTGTTTTTCGAGCTTCAAGAGTATATCATTTTCAAACTCTGGGATGAATATATATTTTTTCTTTTTTTTTATTTTCTGCAAGTCTGTGTTTTTGTTTCCTTGTGGGAAATGCGTCGATTGGAGTGGCACCGAGAAATGGTCCTCCTCACACGTGTCTTCTTTTATATGTTCCGACAGTGCCATGGGGACCACATCCTCATGGGAGAGTTCATGACCGTTTCCATCATCCAGTAACTCTTCAATAAAATGTTTTTCTTCAAACTGATCACTATTTTCCTCTTGTCTCTTCTCAAGGTACACATGAGTTGTACGTTCATGTGTGCGTTCGCCCTTCTCGGCGAAATTCCTTCTGGCCAAAGCACCTCTCCCCTTGCCTTCACTTTTGTTACTTTTTAATATTTTAATATTTAACGCCCTCTTCAAAATGCTATATTTGTCTAGGCTATTTTTTTCTTCATTAAGCAAGTTTCTTTTTTCTTCTTCTAAATTTGAAATTTGTTTTTTTAATTTTGCCAGGGTATTGTTTAAACTGCTGATGTAGACATTTTTTTCTTTTTTCAATTCATCCCTCTTTGTGTTTAAAATGAATATACGTCGCTCGAGGTTCTCCTTGGAAGCATCATTTTCAATGCCCACAAAGCTATCGTCTTCCTTTTTTTTGTCTAGGTTAAGTTCGTTCATTTTTTTTTTTATTTCATCCAGCTGGGCTTCTATCCTGTGTCGGCGCGAAAGGGGAGAAAAAACTCATTTTGTGCGTTACGATAAGGATAGGGTTGCTAATCCGGCGTATGCCTGAGAAAAGATTTTTTTTTTATAAAAAGTTGAAGCAGTTATACCGCCTCCCACCCCCATGTTGTTGGGATGACCCTACTTGCAAATATTTTCCTCGTAGAGACGATTTCCATTCTGTAGCTGGATCAGCCGAGAGCACAGGGTAGACTGCTGACTCAGCAAATTTTTGTACTCCTTCTCCAAGGCAATCTTATTAGGTTTCCTTTTATTTGAATCCAATAGCTTTTCATTTTTTCGTATGGTGTCTTTTAAATATTTTATTTCCTTTTTCTTATTTTCAATGTCTAGACTAACTTGCTTGTACTTTTTCTCCAATGTTGAAATGAACAAGGGGTCTGTTGATTTTTTTAATTTTTTTTTTAAAATAATGCTATCCTTCTTAGCCGTTTCAATGTGCTTATTTAGGTAGTGCATATTCTTCTCAATCGAGTTGTATGTTTTTTTTAGTTCTGGCTTGCTCTGGTTGCCCACATTGACTTTGTAACTTTCGCAGAGTGATAGGAATTCGTTTATTTTGCTCTTGTGTTCGAGAAGGTACTCCGCGTTCAGGTTTTTCTGCCGTCAGGGGGTGCACGGAAGCGGTTACTACGGCATGCACGGAAGCGGTTACTACGGCATGCACGGAAGCGG